ACTAGCCTTCCTTGATGTCCTTGTATGCCGCACAGATTATGTTGGCCTAAATAGTAAAGGGTCTATGAAAGCAACGGATACGACGCAAGTACTGAACTTTAACAGCAGCCACTCAATCAGCCATAAATCCGGTCGTGTGAGGACCCTATCGGCATTTTGAGACGCATTGCAGTCAGCCGGGTCACAAGATTGACAAACTACAATATCTTCGAAGCGTGTTCAAAGCCAACGGCTACTCGCAGAACTTCTTCAACCGGTGCATACGCAAATGCGACGAAAGGTCAAACCGCATTGACCCCAAATTTTGGCGAACGCTCCTGTTCGTGAAGAACGTATCGAAAGTCGTCGACTACTTTCTCGCATCACTCGGGTTATGAGACCGAATAAATCACTGCAATGGCAGGAAACGTCCGTAGACGTTTATCGGATATGGTGCAGTTGCGGACAAAGCAACTACGTCAGAGAAACTAGAGGACTGCCCCGAACATGCGGGAAGAGTGCGGAGAAAGGACTCTAACTGTCAATTTGCGGCTCATTCGACGAGATCCGGCCAAGCATTCAAATTTGACGAGGACGAAATTCTCGCGAGAGATGACAACCACGTGAGCCGGCAGCTGCTTGAGTCATGGTTTACTGGCCCCCAGTTCATTAACAAGTGCAATGATCTTCACATTCCATACTCGGTGATGAGACTTCGCTTACTCTGAGTAATTGAGCACGCGGGGAGCTCACAGGTGAACACTTTTCCCAACACCAGGGTCGGTGGGTCGGATTGTCGAGCAGTCATCACACTAACATTCAACGCACGTGATGAAATCGCAGAAATTAACGGCGCGAATGCCGGCCATCCAACGGGCATCACACCACGTGCAACTATCCCGGATGAAGTCGGGAGCCGCGACTTTTCATAAGTATGCGGTTGCATGGCGGCTGCATCCTATAAATTCTGCAGCCCCTTGTGCATGAACCACCCTTATTTGCTTTTGCCTCTGATGATGGGTTCGAGCAGGAATCCGAAACGTCAGGCTAATAAAGCTCTTGTCGCAGCGATTGTGTCCCCTTGTTCAATATGGCAGGAAGTCGACCGGCATCAGACTGTGGCCGCGTTGAGTGCTGCATTGTACAAAGAGCAGACCTCTTATTGATCGATGAAGAGGAAGCAGACGGCAGCGCTGGCCAAAACCTCATATCTGGCCACATCTGTGACTACCATACTCGGATAGGGATACACATTAAAAAATTACTTATCCCTCATCACATAACTATGTGTCGTGCACTTCCTCTTCTGGTCGGCCTCGGCAACTAAAACAGACTCCTTGACACCCAACGCTGCAGACTTTGGAGTCTGATGACCACATTCTTGAACTTACAGTAATTTGGTTACCTCATGAAATGTCAACCCAGTAATTCCGAAATGCTTTTTCGTTTCGGAAAGAGCAACTGTTGTAAAAATACAACATTGTGTAGCATAATTCTACAATAATTCAGCTACCCCAGGATGCGGCTATGGAACTGACTTCTTTCCGGCTGCATGCAAAAACTACACTCTGCATAAAATGACTTCTTATGTGGCATGACTTTTCCCATTGATTTTCGATGCCTCTTAAAGGTCAAATTATATTTCATGGACACATGCATGTAAATATTCGTTCTTTTGCTCATTCGGTATAAAACTACTTCTACTTTCGACTCTATAAGCGAAGGCCGGGCATCATTTGGTTTTAAAAAAAGTTTCTAATTGTGAGATTTTTCAATACCCCGAAACGGCCGTTCATAAAACGTCATGTGCCTTTATTTACCATTGTGGCTCAAATCCACTTCCAAGTTTTATGAACGCCTCCATGATCATCTCATAATACCGTAGAGAAATATATGGTTTCCCTGTGCGGCTAATACACGGCTTGTAGGTTGCAAACTCTGAATGCAAATGAAACAACAGATCGGAATAAAAATTATTCTAGATTTGGAAAGGTCTTTAAGCCTGAATCATCCCCTTCCCTCGAGTAAAAAGTTGAAAGAGGACGTAATTTTCTACCGAATGAATAAAAGGATGAATATTGTTATGCATGTTTTCTACGGAATATAATTGCATTTTTAAGGGCATCGAGAATCAATGAGAAAAATGCATGCTACCTAAGTAGTCGTTTTTTGGAGAGTACAGTTTTCGCATGCAGCCGGAAAGGCGATCGTTCGAATGCCGGCATCCTGAGGGGACTGAATTATTACAGAATTATGTTGCATGATGGTTTGTTTTACAACCCTCCTTAATTAATCTTCTCAAAACGAGAACAAATTTCTAAATTTCGGTTGACATTTCATGAGTTAGGCCACTTACTGTAGATCGGTACCAAAGCAGGTGCCTTACTGATGCGGTAAACCGGTTAGGCCACACCGTAAACAGTTCCCTCTTACTTGTTACGTCTTGCTAAAACTGCGGGCAGTTTCTGCTGTTTGGGGAGTTGCAGTGGACTGCCTGAGAAATTATGGTTCGTTGCGGGGATTACTTGTTACTTCGTTGGGCTGATTATTGAGCTGATTGTGTGCCGCAGCACTTGCGCCCACGAATCAAGACTCGTGAGTTGAGTTGATCCCTCCTCCACGGTTAACCGCTCGTTACACCTAACATCTAGATCTGTAATCATGACTACGGAGGACTTGGGGCCGTGTCATTTTTCGTCATGGATTCGTTAACCTGCGCGGCTGGGTCTGCACCGTCCAGTAATTGAGTCGACAGCTTCTAGCTAGCCTCCATCTGATGTGTGAATCGCTCGACTTAGTCAGAAGGGCGTCTACGCCCTTCGAGGGATTCAGAGCCAACTTGCGGCAGCGTACTTTCCCAATTTATTACAAAACGCGGACACAAGTACGTGTGTTCGAAAGGGCTGTCGGTCTATAAAAATTTCATCTTTCGGCACCTGCTGATGGCTTTGCCAAACAAGCAGATCAAGTATTATCCACCTAAATAAAGTTTACGATGCTAAATTGAGTTTCTAAAGTCGTAGAACAGTAAATAATTGGCGAAATTAAAAGATACAATAGAGGTGACCATACACAATGACGATGAATCGAATAAGTGAAAAATAGTAAGCAGAGGATGCATAAGGAACCTAATAAGCTCTTGTGGATAATCAGCGTGTTAAAATTTATCCAATGGTAGGCCTCGCTGACAGTGTGCCGACCGGCTGGCAGCCTCAGTTTGCGGAGACTTTTAAAAAGGAAACACAAAGTGATAATGCAAAAATAATCCTTTCTCAAAAATTAAATGAGCCGGCTATGATAGGGATTACAAATAATATAGGTACGTGTCAGCCTCTATGAAGAGAAACTTAGCTCAGGAAAGACTGATTAGTTTATGGCGATGGCGGAGGCTGCTGAGTCTTGCGGTGTTTTTGAATTCCCAGCGAGAAATCTGCTCATTTTGGTGTTCTCAATCCATCGCTGTCTGCCTTTTGTACCTCTGGAAACGAAAAAACATGTCACGATATGTGAAATATTTATTGACGCAGTCTTTCCTTGGATTTACTGATTTCAACACTTGATATAGTACGTTGCGTTCGAAGGCCCACATTTATCTGATCTGCACAGCAACGGAGAAGATGGGTGTCAATCACAGCGGGCCGCGAAAAATATGCTGTTACACAAATTCAAACTAAACAGTTATATAGGTAGTAACAGTAATACAGATGTTGAACACTAAACGACTGTAGAATGTGACCGCCAATGACGGACAGAAAATGCCGAATCAGAGGTGTTTTGACGCATATCACAGAGCAGCTGCGCAAGTCGAAATCGGCCGAACATCAATTTCGCAGAAAAAATGATTTGCCACCGTACAAGTGCAGAAGAAAATAATTTTGACTACATTTTCTGCAAAATGTATTTGGACTTACAACGAAAGCGAAATTTACTGGAAAAAATTAGTACCAAGTATTTGATCGCTTTTTACATCTCACGGCTTCTCTGGGGGCGCTAAAATAAAAATGCATTCAAAGCGGGCATCCTGGCATAGCTGAACTCTCCTGTGATTACGCTATATTGATAATAAATATAACAAATCGAAAAAAGCGTTCCATAATGACGGTTGAAGTTTCATGAGACTGGTCAGTAACGACACGTTTTAAAATATTTCCAGTGTACGTCATGGCCGACCTGGCAGTTTGTGCTGCCTGCCCCAGAGTGACAAACCGGCAAAATTCGCAGTGCCATTTGAATTTAGCTCTGGCGGTTACTTTAGAGGCGTGCCCCTCAAAAGGGCATTCACATTCAAGCAGAGTGTAAGTGCTCATGTCAACTGGCATGCAGCCCTTGGTCCTTACTAGCAATCCCAAGACGTCAACCATAACGATCAGCGTGCACGCAAGAGTAGGCTACGCACGCAATGCAGCAAACACTGTCATTCTGTTGCACTTTTGTGTTGGCATCTGTTAATGATGTCGCTGAAAAGTAGGTGGTTAGCTTTGGGACAATGTGGATGCCAACGCGATTGACTCCTGATGGAATGTACTCGGGAGTTGTCTGCTTATTCGGCGGAATATATCATGTCGGAGGCACACTTATAGCAACTTGGTAGTGGGAGTGCTTAGTCTGAGCGTTACAATCATCAGGCTAAATCCCGTGTTGTGAAGAATGACAGGAGTCAGTAGGCTGAGGGGCTTGTTGCCTGGAGAACTTCGAGTTGTCATCTGGAGCTGCAGTAGCCGCTGGCAAAGCTATTGACCGCGCCCAGCCGAGCCAGAGTCAAGCGAGAGAGTTCGTGAGACAGTGGTGTGAACTGCTTTTGACGTGGTGTCTCATTGGAATGTGTCGATTTGTCGAGGGCTGGTGTTCAAGTGGCTTGCGCTGCACTTTTAGAGGGGTGGTTTTTAAAAGTCGCTGCCGGTCAGCGCGTCTGAAACGGCTGAGAGCGAAGGTGAATGGCCTTTGGGCAACGGGGTCTGGAAGAGAAACACCAGACAGGGTCTTGATGGTTGTTCACAACACACTTTTGACCTTCTAGCTGGCTAGTGATCCCTGTGCTCGGCTTCGGAACCAGTAAGTTTTTTTTTCAGGAACTCATGCGGGGCGTAAATGTAGCTCAGATATCGGTGGCAGCAAAAGTCTTTACCATGCCATGCCTCATCCGATGGAGTTTCACCGTCGGCATGAGGTGTGGGGGAAGCGACCTTGAGCGGTGTCTGGCTGAGAATAATTAACGAAGACCTAAGTATATGGACCGGTATCATGACATTGCCAAGTCGCAGCTGAGTAACACGCGGAGCAGGTAATCAGCTGGCGGGGGGGGCAAGCCGGCAAGCCGGGTTGATTGTCGCAGCAGTGCGTTAACTCGCTTTTCAGTAAGTTAACCTTACTACAGTAGCAAAAGACATTCGAGCTGGAGCTTCCGAGGCAGCTCTTTTTGGGAGCTGCTGGATTATGGCCTTCATGGTGGAGAATGGTCTCGGCCTTAGAGGTTTTCCTGTGGACGCGTCTTACGGGGTTTCCATCCGCAAGTTTCCTCTGTAAATATTTGTAGGCAGAGTCTCATTTAAGAACACAGTTCCTTGTGGGAAGCATCTTATTTGCCTTTAAAGTAGCTCGTGACTGAGTCGCGAAGCAGCAGAAGCAACGATGAGCTGTGTATATCAGCTTTAAGCTAGTATTTGTGAAACTGCAGTGGTAAACAAATCTCTGTGTCTACACTGCCTACTACGTCGTTGTCCCCCTAAAGCCGGTGGATATTACGAGCTAGGTCTCGATTAATCTTCTTCAGGGTCATGCGTTAATTTGTGGAGCTATTAAAAATAAAACTGACTAGAAGACATTGGTGTGTTTCTGATACTACAAAGTGGCGTACCTCTCCCCTCCGAATGCGTCAAAAAGGCCCAGTACCGATGGAACACAAGAAATGCGGCAAATCAATCTCAATATATATTAACATAAATTTTCAGGCATTGTTTCAAAATATGCAAGGCAGTTGCGGTAGTCCTGGTGAATTTTACTTCTGCCCTGTTAAAGGTGCGTGAAAATGGCTCCTTCTACGAACTCATGTGATATGCACAAGCGTACGCTAAACGAACGTTTTTCTGATAAATTAATTAGTTGATCGAGTTGAATCAACAGTGGCTGGCCTATCTCAAGAAATTTCGACAAAGAATGTAAAATGCGCTTCTGATTTGATCGACTTACATAGGCAGGGTTATAAAACTAATTGTCTCGCAGCCTTATCCAAAGACGTGCTAGCCATTGGAAGATGCTGGCATTTAAATGAGCCTTGAAGAAGGAGACACGATCGCTAGGACAAGAGTTTTATTAGCCTGACGTTTCGGATTCTTGCTCGAACCCCTCATCAGAGACAAAAGCAGATGCGGGCGTTCATGCATAAGGGGCTGCAGTATTCATAGGAATCAGTCGCCATGCTACCGCATATCTATGAATATTCACGGCTCTCCCTCCCCCCCTCTCATCAGGGATCGTTGCACGTGGCGTGATGGCCGACATTCGAGTCGTTAATTGCTGCAATTTCATCACGCGCGTTAAATGTTGGTGTGATGACTGCTCGACCATCTGACGCGTTGACCCGGGTGTTGGGAAGAGTGTTCACCAGTGCGCTCCCCGCATGGCCAATTACTCAGCCTAGACGAAGTCTCAGCACGGTGTATTGAATGGGAAGATCATCGCATTTATTGATAGACAGGGGCCAGTAAACCATAACTCAAGCAGCCGCCGGGTCGCGCGGTTGCCACCTCTTGCGAGAATTTCGTACTAGTCAAATTTGAATGTGTGGCCGGATCTCGTCGAATGAGCCACAACTTGAAAGCTATCGTCATTTCTCCGCACCGCTGCAGCTTGTTCGGCCGTTCACGTTCGGAGCTGTCTTCCGGTTTCTCCGACGTAGTTGCTTTGTCCGCAAATGCATCAGATCCGATAAACCACTCCAGACGTTTCTGGCCATGGCAGCGGGTCTTTCGGTTTCATTACCGGATACCTAATGGTTGCCTCCGGTCTGTGTGCAATTACAACCCCAAGTGTTGCGAGAAGGCGACCGACAGATTCCAAAACGTTATTGACATATGGAAGCGCTCCCAAAATTTTGGTGTCCTTGCAGTTAGGCCTTTCGTCCCTTTTGCGTCTGCGCCGGTTAACGAAGTTGCGCGGATGGCCATTGGCTTTGAATACCCGTCGGAGGTATTGGAGTTTGGCAATCTTGTCTTCACGCCACTAGAGCGTTTGTGGTTGTTTGGGTAGTTTCTATTGAATATTTGTACTTGCATCGTATTTTTCGCTTTCCTGAACACTTTGGTCTTTAGTCTACCACGATCTTTGCGGCATGCGAGGACATCCAGGAAGGCCAGCTGGTTGTTCCCTTCCTCCTTCATCGTAAATTGTATGTCCGGGAAGACCGCATTCATATGTTCCTTGAATTTTAGCAGTTGATTCCGGTCGGTAACGACGAATGTATCATCCACATACCGGGTCCAGAACTTCGGTCTGCAATGTTGGAAGACCAGCGACTCTAACCGTTGCAGGACCGCCTCGGCGATGAATCCCGAAATCGGCGAACCCATTGGTGTGCCCTTCACCTGTTCGTAGATTGTCCCGTCGAACGTGAAGTACGTCCTGAGACAGAGCTTCAGGAGCTGAAGGACTTGGGCGTGTCCAAGACGCTTCTCCGTTTCATCGTATTTGCTTTGTAGTAGCAGCTCATTTGTCTCGATCGCCAGGTCTTGGGGAATAGAAGTAAAAAGGGATGTAACATCAAAAGATACCATGACCTCATTTGGATGGATGCTTACCCCCTTGAGTTTCTCCAGGAATTGTGCTGACGAAGAGACCGTGGTGTCTGACTCAGCGGTTAGGAACTTGAGAAGCCGGAACAGCCACTTAGCCAGTCCGTACGTTGGAGTCCCTCTGAGCGACACGATGGGTCGGAGAGGGGCGCCGTCTTTGTGCACCTTAGGAGGCCATAGAATCGGGCCAAAGCCGTATCTTGGGGGCTCGCCATGCGCCTGTCGGTTTGTGTTATTGCACCTGAATTCCCAAGGCCTACAACCTAGCATTAATTTCGCGTGTCAGTGCTTTTACAGGGTTCGTTGCACATGGGGCATGGAACTGTCGGTTCTCCAGTAAACCTTTGGCATCACGTTTGACCTTGGAAGGCCCGTCCACCGGCCTGTAGGCCATTAGGAGTGGTGACACTTGGTGTCGGAGGAGGCTCTTAGTCTTCTCCGTTGCCTCCGTTGCTTTTAAATTAGTCTCGTTCTGAAAAAATAGCTACCCAAGGAGCATAGTTAGTTCATCACTGATTCATGATTCTCTTGTAAATTTAAATATAATGTGCATAAATTTTCCATAAAAATTATTTCCTGTGCTGGGTTAGCGACCAATTGCGGTTTTTCAGTTTTAAAAGAACGCTTTCCGCTCCCACATAATTTTAGACTTGACCCGTAACTGCACTTGCGTTTATGGCTGGGAAACTACACGCTGCATACTTTCCGTAAATGGGGAATCGTATAATTCCTTTAGCTATTTGAGTTTCAGGTGGGGAAGAAAAGATTCGAGCACCGTAACACTTTGTTTATTGTCCTGAGCTTTCAGAATCGTGCAGGAGTCCATCGTCAGTGGTAGTGGCAGAAACAGAACAAGCGGCAGTTATAAGCCATGTGGGCCCAGTCATCGACCGACGGCGCAAGACTGGGGTGACTACGCAGGGCTCTGTACGCCAGCGCCAGATCAATAAATCGATTGACCGAGTTCTCATCCGAGGCCCAGGCTTCAATCAATTCTCAGCCTGTTTTGTTTCCGGCGTGGGCGACTATTTTGGTGGCTGCGAAGTTAAACTCGTGACCCATTTCGTAGGTGTGAGCGGCCACTTGCGATAACGCGTCGCCTCGCAGTACAGCCAGCTTATGTTCGTGTATGCGCGATCCGAGCATGCGTCCAGTCTGTCTTGTGTAGTTTCAAGGACATTTTTGACACGGAATGCGATAAACTGCTCCAGATTGCTCTTCAGGCTTTAACCGGTCTTTGATTTTCATGACCCTATTGCGCATGGTGGCTTTAGGGCCGTGTGCAATTCGAACACCTAGCTCCGCAGCAATGCGCTAGGTCGCTTCTGAAACGCCCTTGATGTATGGCAGGGAATGCATATCGTCGACGGCGTTGATTTTCGAGTTCTCTGGTGGTGACCGCGTATACAGACTTATGAATGCCCTCAGATAGGCATTTTGCACAAAATGGTCGCGGAGATAACGGGCCTCACGTGCTCTGTCCTCCGGTTTGCTGTTATAAGGCATGCAGGCCCAATCACAAGTGGCCGCTCACACCTACGAAATGGGTCACGAGTTTAACTTCGCAGCCACCAAAATAGTCCCCCACGCCGGAAACAAAACAGGCCAAGAATTGATTGAAGCCTGGGCCTCGGATGAGAACTCAGTCAATCGATTTATCGATCTGGCGCCGGTGTACAGAGCCCTGTGTAGTCACCTCCGGTCGTGCGCCGTCAGTCGATGATTGGGCCTACATGGCTTATAACTGCCGCTTGTTCTGTTGCTGCCACTACCTCTGACGATGGACTCCTGCAGGAGTCTGAAAGCTCAGGACAATAAACAAAGTGTTAAGGTGCTCGAATTTACTTCTTCACTTATACAAATGGTTATTTCATGGTCCTTGACAATTACGTAAGGAGAAACTTTTCTGTAACCAAAAGATACCATTACCTTTAGTAAGAAGTCAGACAGAATTAGTAGATTGCTACCACATTTTTATAATATGGAAGACGTTTATTTGATTTTAAATGTAAAAGAACGTCGAAAGTCAATGTGGAAATACACACTAATCCCATAGTCCTATTTCATTAAACGTACTTTTCACAGACAGTCGGAAATGATCCTCTTCGTGTCAAAAGGCATGCCAATGTCGATAGATGCCGTTGAGAATTCTAAGTACCTACTTCTACTAGTTCCAACTTTAACGAAGACAGATGATTGGGCGCAAAAATAGCACAAACTGGATATTTTACGCATCACTTTTCCGACCTGTCACCTATTATCAGCCAAGGTCCCATCAAGACGAAGAAAGCCAGTTAACTGGGCAGCTATATAATACATAGTTAATTTATACGCGTGCCTGCTTAGATTGTCAGATAAAAGTCCTTTAAAACAGGCATGTACAGCAGAATTTATTGGGACCAATAAATTTCGTGATGGCTTATCAACTGCAGCCCGTCTCTGCATAGCATAGATAATGAATGGAAATGCAAAATGTCAGTGCACAGGAGTAAGATCAAGGCAATGAATTCCTACACGCGATTTGAGGTGGCATGCATTAGCAAGGCATCCTTTGCCCGGCTAATTGGAAGGCTTTTAGTGGAACTATACTACAGCCCAAGCGTTGCTTGATTGTGTTTGAGACGCCGTCACCCTTAAAAGGTAAACATATTATAAACGAGCTTCTTCGGAACGGAATTCACATGCACTTACAGATGCAAGTACATTAGGCAAACGCAAAGGCAACTGGCAACCAGAGCCGGTGAGCATTTGCCTAATTGGTTTTTCAAACACAAATACAAAAGCCCATTCGTCTATAACAAAACACCTGTTAGATGGCGGTCATGTTGTCGACCCTAAAGCATCTTTTCGAGTACTTGTCCGAGCGCATACACCTCGAACCTTGCGTTATTTGGAAGCAGCTTACATACGGAGGGAGAAACCAGACCTGTGCAAGCGGTTAGATCACGTGATCAATCTGCAATTGCCCTGGTAACCTCACGCCTCTAGTTTCCCCTGGCTGTGATTTGTTGTTAACATTTCGTCTCCCTCTTTCCTATATGACGCTTATGTGGACGTCTTATCTGATTATTCGTTGCCTTGAACCTTGACCTTGCTCTTATACACTGCCATTCTATACAAATTCATACTGCTGTACGCTTTCATTCGTTACCTATGTTATGCAGAGACGGGCTGCAGTTAAAGAGCCGTAAAAATTTATTGCCCCCAATAAATTCTGTTGTATACGCCTGTTTTCAATTCATACCCGGAAAGAAATGCTTTAAAAGTCATTTAATGAGACTAAGAAAATAAAACTGAACACTGCGTTTTAAGTTATGAAATTTTTACACGTTTTTTTCGAATAATGCACGAGCAAGTATGTACTGTAAAAGGCGAGTTCGGTGATAAGTCAATCAACGTTCCCAAGGAAAGTGATTTGCGATATGCTATAACTAAGAAGGATCATTTTTAAGATCATTTTAAAATTTGTACCATGACCATGCAGCCACGAAGTCGTGTATCAAAGTTCCTTCTACCGGGTCATGTTAGAAATATGTTTGAAATAACATTTTCGACAAAACAGGGGAGACGGAGAAGGCCATTTCTGGATTGTTATCTGTCACCCGCAGTTTATACCCAACCTAGGTTTTGCGACATCCGAGGTTTGATCTCGCGACCCCTAAGTTAGAAATCCAACGCCCTAGCTATTGAACCACGGGCTCGTTGTTCTGTGAGTTGCGATTGGGTATATTTACGATGGTATATTAGCGCGCACTGAACGCGTTGTGGAACTCAATCCTTCCATTGTGCCTTGGGGCCCTTTCGTGAGCCCCGCTAACAGCAGCATAGCGGCGTAAGATGCAGGCAGAGTAACATTATCGACAATGACATGGAAGGGTGGAACGATCGATTCTGGTTTGTTAGCTGTAATTAGCCAGCGATACCCAATCCCGACCCTCTTACCATTGTAAATATGCACGATAGCAACCAACAGGACAATGTGTCTCTGACTTACTAGTTAGGGTGTTGGGTTTCGCACTAACAGATCGCACTTTTGAGTCATGGAGGTTGTTCACCTCGGAATTGCGATTTGTCGGCTGATGAAGGCCAACAAGCCAGAAATGACTACGCCAGTCGCCCTTGTCTTCTTCGGCAATGTTATTCTGCGTATATTAGGTGGCGCTGTGCCGCTGCTGACCAAACTGGGAAATCTGTCCCGAACCGTGTACGTGAACATCAGTTGGCGGTAAAGAGCCGCGACCATCTATCTCAGGTGGCCATGCACACACCGGACACTGGACACAAATTTTCATGGGAAAACACCCGCATTGTTGGCACCTGCCCAATGAGAAAAGGCCGCGAATTCCTGGAGGCAATGCACTCAGATGAGGCATGCATCAACCGGCGTATCGATCTAGATGCCACATAAAAAATCGTTAAGGACATATTCAAAGTGACTCAACCAATCCCGAGAAGATGACTTTAACCAATAATAGAAGCCTTTTTCGGACTCGCTCCAGAAGTTAAATGTTTTTGCCCGCCCATTGTCTGAAGACGAGCTGAGGAACCGGGCTCGAGAATTTACACAATAAATTTTGCTGTTTCCCAAAGAATTCCATCTTCATATTTTATTCCGGTGTGCCTTGGAGCTCAATCTTGTGCCCCAAGGTAAAACGGGACGAGTGATCTCTGTAACGCGATCGGCGTCCGCTTTCCACCCATATATTACGTCGGCGGTTTCCACCCAGTCCTCATTTAGACACCACCAGTATATGGTCCACCGATTTACTCCCCATCAAAGAAGAGTGTATAAATAGAAAAGCAGGCATCTTAAGAGATATAATTATGAAGATGGAATTCTTAGGGAAACAGTAAAGTTTATTGTGTACATCTTCGACACTGGTTCCCCAGCTCGCCCTCAGACAATGGGCGTGCAAAAAGAATTATCTTCTAGACCGAGTCTGACAAAGGATTCGGCTAGATCGTAGTCGGTGGACAGGCCCCGTATTATTGGTGACTGCGGGGTTTGTTTACTGGGACTATTTTGAGAAGTTCCATAATCACACCTGACCCATTTGGCTTTCGTTTTACGTGTGAGGCCAGAGTTAGGGTACCGGTTAATGGATTGCGGTTTTCGGGTTAGGGTTATGCCTTTAGGCTAAGGTTTCCGGGTTACGGTTAGGGTCTGAGCGTACGATTAAGTTTCAGTATTATGGTTAGGTTTTTCAATTACGGCTATGTCTAAGGGCTACGGTTCCGTTTAAGATTTCGGTTAGGGTTGGGGCTGTCCTTAAAGTTAACATTTAACGTATAAGGTTGAGGTTAGGGTTAGGGTCAAGGTTAGGATTAGGGTTTAGGTCTCAGTCCGCTTCCCCATTCCTAGCTACCAACTGCGATCTGGCCAAGGATTCTATGATTGGTTAAAGTAATCTTCTAGGGCTTGGTTAAGTCACTTGGAATATATCCTTAACGATTTTTTATATGGCATCTAGATCGATACTCCGGTTGATGCATGCCTCATCTGAGTGCATTGCCCCCAGGAATTCGCGGCCTTTCCTTCTTGGGCGGGTGCCAACAATGCGTGTGTCTTCCTATGCAAATTTGTGCTCAGTGTCCAGTGTGTTCATGACCACCTGGGGTAGATGGTCGCGGCTCTTTACCGCTAACTGATGTTCATGTACACGGTCCGGGACAGATTTCCCAGTTTGACCACAATAGACGGCATCACAACCAGAACATGGGATTTGTAAACAACACTCTTCCTTTCGAGGTATCCAACCCTGTCCTTAGGGTGTACCGGCTGTGTGTGTAAGGTAGTTGCCGGCTGGTGTGCTACGTGTATCTGGTATTTTTTAATTGTCTTTTGACTAGTTCAGATACATTTCGCATTTCTCCAGATGGTTGTTTTTGGTGCCCGAGCGACCGTATCGATCTAGAAGTTAATTGTTTTTGCACTCCCGTTGTCTGAAGACGAGCTGGGGAACCAGTCTCGAAAATTTACACCATAAAGTTTACGGTTTCCCAAAGAATTCCATCTTCCGAAAAAATAGTTAATATACCGGAATGTAATCTTTAAAGGCCTCCGAGGATGATTTGGATGCAAAACAATTTGCGGCCACTTTATGCAAGTTTTGAGGTCCAAAATTTGTAAACGCGCGTTTCCCAGGCTAACGGTTACTTCCAGCGTGACTTTTTTATAATAGGCATTATCAACTAACCTCATATTAGGCAGAGAAGGAATTTAGAGGGATTACCCGAGATGTGACGTTTATGCCGACTCCATAAATCCCGGAGATACAAGCTAAAGTAAGAAAGGATTGGGCTGAGGGCAGCTTGACGCCATGGGTGCATCTCACGCAGACGGCAAAACTCCGGATAGGGGGAGCTTCGATCTTTTCTTTTCACTAGAAGCGTTGCTGAACAGCTGTCATGCAGCTGTTTGTGACATGAATTTTTCTTCCGGATTCTCACCTAATCTGTGACATTTCGTGTCAGCCCAGCCGATCCGCAGTTGCGGATGCAATGTCGTCGAACAGCTCTCTAATTCAGTCCTCAGACGATTCTGCCAGTTTCCTCACTCGGTGGAATATTTTTATTCCAATATGCTTTGTTTCCTCCTACTCTGCCTTTTAACTCCGCTGGCTACAGTTTCGGCATTGGGGGGGAGGGATGCGTTGGTGTTTGCAGGTGCTCTAATCCGACAAATGGTTCTGTAGTCTGTCCTTCACAAATCTGCACTCCCTGCCCATTACATCTGGGAGGATGACATCGATTGCCTGGGAGAATTCCACCCTTTTTGCCCATGGTGACTGATTTAAAGGATTTCTGGCCTACTGTATGGCCCCAGTTGCTGTATCCATTGTACACTAGGTGGACTAACTCATGAAGTGTCAACAGAAATTTCGAAATGCGTCTTTGTTTAGAAAAGATTACTTTAGTATGGTTTTCAAAACAAGTCGTCACACGGAATAATCGCACAATAATTCAGTTGTTTCAGGATGTCGGCTTTCGAACAGACTTCATTTTGACTGCGTTCAAGAAACATACTCTGCAATAAATGACTATTCAAATAGCATGCATTTTTCTCAATGATTTTCGATGCCATTAAATATTCAATTATATTTCATAGAAAACATACAAAAAATATTCATTCTTCTGCTCATTCCGCATAAAATTACGTTTTCTTTTAATTTTATATTCGAAGGAAGGCTATAATTCCGTTTTCAAAAAGTTTCTAATCTTGAAAATTTTTAAAACGGTGAAATGACCGCCCATAAAAAGTCATGTATCTGCATTAAATAATGTGGCTTGTACGGTTTACAATATGGCTCAAATGCACTGCTAAATTTTATGAACCCTATATGGTCTTCTCTTAATACTGTGAAGAAATGTATGATTTTTCGTACGCAGAAAATATATTGTTTGTTGTTCGTAAACCTCGAATGCAAGCGTAAGTGCATGTCGGGTTTAAAATTATTTGGGAATTGGAAAAGTTTTTAAAAACCGAATTATACCCCTCCGAGTATAAAAATGGAAGAAGACGTAATTATCTGCCGAATAACTAAAAGAATGAATATTGGTATGCATGTTCTGCATAAAATATAATTAGACATTTAGGGATATGGAAATCAATGAGAAAAATTCATACTACTCGAGTAGTCATTTTTTGCAGAGTATGGATTTTGCATGCAGCCAAAAGGAATTTTTTTCGAAAGCAGACAAAACTGAAAAAAACTGAATTATTATGGAATTATTGTGTGCGATGATTACTCTTGAAACCCTGCTTAATTAATCTTTTCAAAACAAAAACGCATTTAGGAATCTAGGTTGACATTTCATGAGCTAACCCACCTACTGTGGGCCTCTTTTCCGTCTCACTCATGCTCGCATTCGTTTAGGCAACCGTAGACGTAGATAAAGTCTAGTCTACTAGACATGAGCGACTGGAGCGGCTGAATTCTCACCTAACCTGTGACATTTCGTGTCAGCCCAGCCGATCTGCAGTTGCGGATGCAATGTCGCCGAACAGCTCTCTAATTCAGCCCTCAGAGGATTCTGCCAGTTTCCTCACTCGGTGGAATATTTTCATTCCGATATGCTTTGATTCCTCCTACTCTGTCTTTTAACCCCTCTGGCTACAGTTCCGGCTTCGGGGGGAGGGGTGAGGGGGGATGCGTTGGTGTCTGCAGGTGTTTTTGTCTGACAAATGGTTCTGTAGGCTGCACTTGACAAATTGTCACTCCCTCCCCATTACATCTGGGTGGATGACATCGATTGTACGAGAGAATTCCACTCATGCCCGCACTCGTTTAGGCATCTTTAGACGTATATAAAGGTTAGTCGACTAGATATGAGCGACTTCGGCGGCAAGAGACTGCTGGTATGACGATTCAACCTCCCACGCCCGCGGAGACAGATGTGTATTCTCTCGGGAGCCGAGGAGGAGAAGAGGAAACCTCAGGAATCTGTATAGTTACTTGGTTGGCGCATCAAAATCAAGCATGTTGTAACACCCCAGCAGAACTGACGGACAGAAACCCCTTTGCTTTATTCGTCATCACAGTTTTGTTGATCTATCGTGAGACCTGATCACGCGTGGACCATCATTGACGACCGTCAGTCTGAAAAGTCCAACCTTCAGCATTTTTCCTCCTATCTGGTTCATTTTGCAGTAATACTTATGTAGTTTTACAGTTTCGTTACTTCTCCCAGTATTCCACACCCGTGTTTTGCTTATATCCTAGTATCCACAGAATTTTCAACATTTCCTTGGTGACTATTTTTCTATCGTTCGTTATCTTCCGTTTTTGTCAACCTCGTTATAACATCAACGTCCGGTTATACGTTGGCTGTCGCATTCCATAAAGTACATGCATTTTCCATCCCTCGTTTAATACTTACCATTTACTTGTGCGTCCGCATGCGAATGCATGTGTAATGGATACTTTAGGTACGAACACTCAAGAACCGGAGACTCTGACCAAGTTATACTCAGACTCAAGTGGTCCTCAGTCTGTCCCCCTCCGAGTACGCAGGACATTATAATGGTGGCAGCAGTGGTATGGTGAGGAGCACAGACATTCCGAGCACCTATTCCCGCAGTACTGAGGACAGTGAGACAGCAACCCGGGGTGCAGAGGGCCATTCCGGACGACTGTCCGCCGAACCCAGGCACAATTCGTCGCCGTTTGATTCGAACCAATGAGGCACTGCCACTCACTGATACCTCGACAATTGTTTAACGCGCATGTTGTGCCGATGCAGACTGCAATTATTTTGGGAAAACCAGACAGAAATTGCAGACCCTCCCACACGAACAAAAACTGGCCACCCGGCCATTAGAACTTAACCCACAGCTTGTAAATCACATCGGAGAAACCGGCCGCAGTTTAGACTTTCAAGGAGCAACCATCTTAAGCCGGAACAGTCCAAGGACTGAACGTCTCGCACTTAAAGCCCGATTCTTAGATGCCAACTCCGCCAACAGGCATCTAGATCTTCCTGCGCCATTATATACGCTATGATCGGACAGGATGGTCACAAGGAGCTCAAAAATGTCGAGAAAATACGCCCCGTTGACTAAATTACCCGAAAATGAAGCACAGGCGCAACAGATCACCCCATTCAGTTGACGATACACAACGCTGAGGACCGCCAAAATTCACAAACAACGTACAGAAGGCCGACGTGTCCGTTAATAGAGTTGGCATCAGACGCCCAGATCTCCTGAAATCTACTCCCCCTCCTTATTTTTCCCTCATCTTTCAACTACACAAAAGGTTCGTTGTTTGTTGTTTATGCATGGCTCCGAAAGCCTAGGCTGGTGCAACCAACTGTTTCAACAATTGCGTGTTCACCGTCATTGCAACAAGAACCTGTGATCTGAACAGTAGTGACAATGATGCTTCGGTTAGTGTAATCTGCGATGGTTGCTGGAATATTGCTCATAATATGCTAGCACTCATTTTTGAATCAAATAAGGATGTTCCACGTCAGTCCGTTATGTTGCCTCTCTTTTATGCTGTAACTTTCATTTAAATGCCTTAAAAGGCACTTTGGTGGAACTTTTGAATAAAATAATGAGCGAGAGCCCGTAAGGCACAACGAGACAAATGTGTTCCGTAGAAACAATCGGTGAGTGCCCCTATACTATTGTATATGCTTAGTCGCAACCGACAGACAAGGAGCCCGTGGCTCTGTGGTAAGAGGTGCTGAACTTCTAACTAACAGGTCGCGAGTTCGAACCCCAAGTGTTCCACACTACGTAGTTGGATATGACTGGCTGACGATAGGTAGTAAGCCAGAAATGGCCATTCAAATCTCCCTTGTCTTTGTCGGTAATGCCATTCCACCTATATCATGCGCGCTGTGCGGCTGCTGGTTGTGCTCGAGAGAGAGCCCGTAAGGCCTAACGGTACGAATGAGTTCCGTAGAAACGATCGATGAGAGCCTCTCTACCAAAATAAGGACTTTGTATAGGAAAAGATCTACGCAGAAGTAGTCTCAGCTGCCCAGGCAGTAGTTTGTGCTGTCGCTTCAGGTGAGCATTCAGAGGACCGACTAAACTGGTATTTAAACTCTGGTCCACCGAACCTCAGCACGATGTAAAGTGTTGCTATTCTCTGGATTCCCCTTCTGACTCTGCAAGTTCACCGGGGAGGAGTTACCTGAATTGTAAAGACAGCGAGGGGTAGCACTTCATTTGTAACGCCCCACGACCTCGATAGGGTTGTTTGAATGAGGAACCACTTTTGGCGCGCGGACAAAGGATGGAGATAGCGTAACCGCGGGCTGGTGAGGATGGCCGGTTTCCTTTCATCTCGCTTCCACTACTCCTTTTCCTGCGACGTACCGTGACGCTCGTATCGCTCTCCCTCTCTCTACGTCGGCGCCTTCCTCGGCCCTTCTCTGCAGTAGCCCACAGCGCTGGTTACGCCACCGGTTAACTAGCGGGCATGTCGGTATCGCCCCTCCACCCAGACAGGTTACTCCACAGTTGTAACTCGATTCGTAGGTACTATTGGCTATTATTATACGCCTTTCCAATTCCCAGCTTTGTCCTTTATATCTTCTCGCTCAGTTTACGTTTCTTCTTCCTTTATGTGCGAATGCGTATAGTGACTTGCTAACAACCCTATTCAGATCAGTGTTAGCCAGAATCTCCTTCCAGTGTTTCGCTACTTGAGGTGTGGTGCCCTTGACGTCCTCGGCCGCTACAATGCTTCAGGGCCTGATGACGCTGCGCGAAATCGGATTAAGAGGTGTTCCTGGCGTCTTTGGTCCATTGCTCGTCAGCGAACACCCGCCGGACACCTCAAATAAATGGGTATCATCGCTGAGACTGCCTTCACTCGCCTGACACCACCAACATGCCAATCTCCGTACGACACTTATCGCCGGCGTTTGCACGGTTACTCGTTGACTCTCCGCTGCCCTCCTTGAGGTTGTCACCCAAGAACTTCTTCCATCAGTTGCGTTGGGCAGACAGGCACTGATACCTTGAAGAGAATGCTGCTTACACGCACATGCAAAAGCCCTGTAATTTATTGATGGGTAGTCGGCACTATCGTGCCACTACTTTCTCAAGTATGGCAACCCAATTGTTGGCTACGTCCAACTATGTGGTGCACATTGTCGGGCGGTCTGGTCGCCTCAAGGGGCTGAATGCGCATGCAGTGGATTCAGGACATCGTGTGGACCCCACTGAAGCATCTCGTGGGATTTATAAGATCCCCTTGAGCTACCCTAAGCTACTGGGCCAGCGCCTGTTAGCAAAAGCAGAAGCGGCCGCCATAAGGTCACGAAAACCGACCCTATGCGCCCACAAGAACCTCGTTCAGGCTCCGCGTTTACCGTGGTGCAAGGTTGGCTAAGCACATGCAACTTTCTGTGCCTTGCCGCTCTTGCCTAGCCTGTGGTTTTAAAACCAACTTTTGTCGATTTTTTCAGTAACTGTACCCTATTCCCGGCCTGAAGAGGAGTACATTAAAACTTAGTCTAGCGGAAAGACACCAGATGCCGACAAAGTCAAGGTCAATCGTTGAAATACGTCAGTCCCCAACGTGTCCACAAAAGCAACTAATTGTTTCAGATGTGGGGATTAGAATAACCTCTAGAAACTTCAAGGACGGTACTATCACCTATTTCGGCCGGCGCAACGATAACAAGAAATATGAGTTGGTCCTAGAGGCCTTTTCCCTCCCAACGCTACAGGCAGAAGCTACGTCCGCATCCTACTGGATAGCCTGCAATAGCGTTTGAAGCGGAGACTACTTGTGGCAACTTAGGTCGACTTCTGGAAACACTGTGTAATCACGATCATGACCTTCGTCGGCTGTCAACTATAAGGAAAAATTTAACGAAGGCAGACTAGCTTCTACTCGGCCTTGACCAAGCTGACAAAAACTGCCTGCTGTCAATTATTACGAACTTGGATAAATCTTACTGATACTCGGATTCAAGAGCGATTTAAGTAGATGTTTTGACAAGTAAATGGTGATTCAATGTGATATCCTTCGGCGAGGTTCTCCCATTTCTAAATCCTTAGAATTCTCCCCAATGTGGACACCTTTTCCGGTACCGTGTTGTTGCTCAGTCCGAAAATATCTTATTCTCCCATTAATATTTGTAAACGCGTTTCTGTCGCGCGCCTCAACCCCTCGTCTAAATTCTTCTCTCTTACCCTTAACTGTTCTCTGGCTATTTTCCCTGCTTTCCATAAAAAGAAGGTATGTTAATTTCAAAACGAGCCTTACGAACACTCTCTTCTGCTGCCAGTTTTAAAAAACTTTTCCATTTGCCGAATAAATTGGAGCCTGATCATTCGTTGCAGTAGGGCTTAGTAATTTTAGTCTGCAAGATGCATGCGTTTCATGTAAAGAAAATCACATATTTTTCTATGTTAATAAACAGATATCATACATAGTCCATACAATTTTGCAATGGATGCGGACCATGTTGTTCATTTCATGAGAAGCAGTGGTAAGCGTCTAGGTACGATGCTATGTGAATTGATATTTCGCGGTGTTAAAAAGTCTCATGATTAGAAACTTTTTTAAAACCTAATTATACTCCTTCCTTAAGTAGAAAATATAAAGAAGACGTGATTCTCTTTGATTTACTAAAAGAAAGCATATCTTTATTTATGGATTCTATAAAATATCTTTGAATTTGCAATTTCATCGAAAATCAGTGGGAAAAATTCATGCTACTTAAGTAGTCATTTAAAAGCCGACATCCCGCAGAGTCCGAAATGTTATAAGAGTATGCCGCAAAATAGTCAGTATTACAACCGCGACCAAGTAATCCTTCCTAATCGAAAACGCATTTCAGAATTTCAGCCAACATTTCATGAGATAGGTCACTCACTGTAGATATTCTGTCTTCTGCAAACCTATTTACTCCTGCATCCTACGAAAATTTTATATCTTGGTCAAAATGAGTGGGTGCATTTCTGCTGAAAATGTCAAGTTATACTTTCCCTTTTTCATGATGGCGCACGTTACGAACAGCGGTTGACAAATGCGATTCTAGGTGGATTACTTAGGAAATCCTGCTTATCAGATTTGGTGGGTTGCAGACGTTGCAGTAGGTTGGACAGTAACTCGACCCGGCGGGGTCTCGTAGCTCAAGTGGTTAGAGCGTTGACTGTACTAAAGCCTTCTCCTTACTGTCGTGGGTTCGAATCCCACGGAGGCGCCGAGTTTTGCACAGTTGGCTCAGTATGAAATGTGATTAAGTAAGGCTACGTACAGGCTCCCACCCTCTTCCCGTCATGTCCCCCCCACAATTCTACCTGACACACACCATGAGGAGCGGTCATATGTCAATAACAAGTTCGTCCGTCGTTGCCGACGAAGTCCGCCGGGTGCTCAATATCAAGATCAACCAGGGACAATGACCTGTGCGCGATTTAGTTTGTTGTGATGGTAAGCTGCACAGCATCTACCGCACTCTCTCCTCCTCCCCACTTGGATTTGGTATGAAGACAGAGTCAAGAAGAACAGAGGCGGGGGAGGATGCCGTAATAAGCCGACGTCTTCGTGGGCATGCTAGAGAGATTTCAACTCAGCGGTCAGATCAAAAAGCTTAAACATTACGGTCGCTACATTGATGATATCTTTGTGATTGAAACCACATAAACCGACGTTGCTGCCCTCTTAAATGCTGTAAACCGAGCACATCCATCGATCAAATTCACGTTGGAGATGGAATCGGCCGGTTCGCTTCCTTTCTTAGATGTACTTCTAAACAGGAGGTCTGACGATAGCATCCGAAGGAGAGTCTATCGGAAGAAAACCTGGTCTGGACAATACACGAACTTCGCTGGTTTCGTACCTCTTCAACAAAATGGGAATCTAGTCAGGTGATTGGCACAAAGGGTTATAAAAATGTCTTTAACAGATAGTACAGCGGAGAAACTTAGAAAAATCCAGGAATTTCTTCGCGAAAACTGGTATCCTGACAGGTCAAAATGAGTAAATGCATTTCTTGCCGAAAATGTCAAGTGATGCGCTTCATGATGGCGCACGTTGACAAATGAGATTCTAGGGGAATTGCTTAGGAAATCCTGCTTGGGCAGTCAACTTACTCCCTCAGATTCGGTGGATTTCAGACGCTGCAGTAGGTTGGACGGGTAACTCTATCCAAATGTGATTACACTGGAGCCCTCCGGCGGGGCCTCCTAGAGCGTCGGCTGTACTAAAGCCTTCCCCTTACTGTCGTGGTTTCGAATCCCGCCGAATTTTGCACAGTTAGGTTTGTTTGAAATGCGATTAAGTAAGACTACGCACAGACTCCCACCCTCTTCTCGTCTACCTGACGCACACCATGAGGAGCGGTCATGTGTAAATTTCAAGTTTGACCGTCGTTGCCGACGATGCACATCGGGTGCTCCATAGCGAGATCAAGCACGGTCGGTGACGTGCATGAATGAGTTTGTAGTGGTAGTGGTCTTGCACAGCATCTATCGCACTCTCTCCTCGTATTCCCCATCTGGACCCGATGTCAAGAACCACTCAAGACAAACAGAGGCAGAGGAGGATGATGTTATAAATAATAATGAATAATCAGTCAACACCTGACGTTTGTAGGCAGCATAAATTCCCTCCAGGATCAACGTCCAAACCCTGTTATTTGCCTTTTACTGTGCGTTGAATATAACCGTGAAGTTGGCATGCCACAAAATCGAATTGAGTAGGTGATCGGGTGTTGTCTTGACCAAGTCGGCCTGGGGGACAGAGAAGAGTGCTGTGAATGAAACCCGAGAAATGCAACTGGCAGCCAGATCAGTTGAACCCCTGCCAAAATGGCTTTTTGAGAGGAAAATAAAATTCCTCGTTCTTCTTCGACGAAACATCTCCTACAGAAGGTGGCCTTACTCGTAAAATGTCGACAGAAATTCCAAAATGCGTTTCCGTTTCGAAAAGATTAATTAAATAAAGTGGTAAAACTAAACATCACGCAGCATAACTGTATAATAATTAGGTTAGCACAGGATGCCGGCATTCGAAAAAAAACTTCTATCCAACTGTAGTTAAAAACTCTAACCCGAAAAACATGGCTTCTTAAGTAGCATGCATTTTTTCATTGAAGTTTGATGTCCTTAAAAATTCAATTATATTTCATGGAAAAAATGCATAAAAATATTCGTTGTTTTGCTCATTCAGTAGAAAATTACGTCTTCTTTCAGTTTTACATTAGGCATAACGCATATTTCGGTTTTAAAAAGTTTCTAATTGGGAGATTTTTTAATACCGTGAAATTGCCCTTCGTAAAACGTCATATCTCTGCATTTATCAATGTGGCTTGTAAAATTAACAATATGGCTCAAATCCACTGTTTAATTTTATGAACCCCATATGGCCTACTCTTAATACCATAGAGAAATGTGTGGTTTTCGGTAAGCGGAAAATTCTCGTCTCTCAGTTTGGAAAACCCCGAATCCCAGTGTAACGGTAGAGCGGATTCAGAATTATACGGGCATTTGAAAAATTTTTGAAAACCGAATTATGCCCTTCCGTCGAGCATAGGATTGGAAGAAAACGTAATTGTCTACCGAAAGAGCAAAAGAATGAATATTTTATGCCTGTTTTCCGTGAAATATAATTGAATCTTTTAAGGAATCGAAAATCAATGAAAAAATGCATGCTATATATGTAGTCATTTCTATCAGAGGGTAGGTTTTGCATGGGGTGTAGGGGGTGTCAGCGGTGGGTTCACGTGATGGTCGTAGTGGTCGCTCACTTGCCTGCAGGTAAGACTACGCCTAGCGTCCATTTGCTGGCACCCAACTCTCACCTGTGGCTCCACGTAGCTGGGCTCTGCTCAGCGGCCACACCCCGGGCAACCGTCTCGACCGGCGGGCTAAACCAGGTGAGGACGCTGTGCGCTTGTGCCGCGTGCACAGTGTACTGCGGACTCCGCTGGATGGATGGTCGGATGAAACACTGCGCCGGCATCGTCGAGACGAGGCTCTGCCTGGTACGCCGTTGGATAACTGCTGCCGGGACGGGTCTCCGCATCGCCTTCGCTGAGACGCGCCCACCCTCGCCGACGGAGACCGCGGACTCACGGCATATGCGGTCGTTCTCCACTACGAACATAAAAGTCGTGGCCCCATAGTGGGATCGGTCGCGCCAACCAGGCACATGGGCAGCCCGATTAAGGGGCGGCACTGCCTGCCCCCATGAGGGGAAGGGCCTAGAAAAGGTGGCCCAAACATTGCTGGGTACCACGCCGTCTCCAGGCTAGCCAGGGCCGCAGACGTCTAATCATGGTCGAAACAATCAAAATCGAAACAACAACAATACCAATAACAACAACAACCATACTCCTTCTCCTCATCCTACCTCTTCTACCTCTTCCTCTGCCTATTCTTCTCCTTCGTCACCTTCTTCTCCATCTCCCTCCCGTCGCCCCACTCGTCGTCACCAGACTGGCAGGGTGAGTCCGCTCACTCTGGCAGCCTGGAATGTTCGTTCCCTTTTAAAAAATCCGCGGAGCAACCGACCGGAAAGGAGGACAGCATTAGTGGCACGAGAACTGGCGCGCTACAAGGTGGACATCGCCGCACGCAGCGAGACCCGTTTCTCCGAACAAGGCCAACTGGAGGAGGTGGGTGCCGGCTACATCTTCTTCTGGAGCGGCCGACCCAGGGCAGAGTGACGGGACACGGGTGTCGCCTTCGCCATTCGGAACGACATCGTGGGACGACTACCCTGTTTGCCGCAGGGCATCAACGATCGCCTGATGAGCCTCCGCCTGCCTCTCCGGCGGGGGGGGGGGGGCAATTCGCCACCATCATCAGCGCCTACGCTCCGACCATGACCAACCCCGACGCCGTCAGAGACAAATTCTACGAGGACCTGCACGCCCTCTTGGCGACTGTGCCGATGGCGGACAAGTTGGTTGCCCTTGGCGACTTCAACGCCCGCGTCGGCACAGACCATACTGCCTGGAGGGGAGTGCTGGGTCCCCACGGTCTCCGCGGCTCAAACGACAATGGTCTGCTGCTGCTCCGCACCTGCACAGAACACCGCCTCATCCTGACAAACACGTTCTTCTGTCTGCCGGAGCGAGAGAAGGCCACTTGGAGGCATCCTCGGTCGCGTCAGTGGTACCTGCTTAACTATGTCCTCGTCCGAAGGCGTGACCAGCGGGACGTGCTGGCGACGAAGGCGATCGCGGGTGCTGACGGGTGGACCGACCATCGCCTCGTCATCTCGAAGATGCGTATTCGCCTACAGCCTCGCAGGAGACCTCAAGGTAAGCGACCCCCAGGTAAGCTGAATGTTGCCTTGTTGTCCTTGCTCGCTCACCATCTCTATTTCAGCAATGAGCTAGCTCAACGGCTAGACAACCTCCCCATCGCCGATGCCGCCGCTGCGGAAAACGCCTCCGTGGAGAACAGCTGGTGTCAACTGCGAGACACGGTCCAGGCGACAGCACTCACCGTCCTCGGTCGTGCTCCCCGCCAACACCAGGACTGGTTCGACGACAACGACGCCGCCATCAGAAATCTGCTTGCTGAGAAGGACCGCCTACACAAAGCCTACGTAGATCACCCCACTGATGCCACCAAAGCTGCCTTCTACCGCAGTCGCCGCCCACCTCAACAACGACTGCGCGAGATGCAGGACGCCTGGACTGCTCTCAAAGCTGAGGAGATCCAAGGCTACGCGGACCGCAACGAATGGAAGAACTTCTTCTCTGCGATCAAAACTGTCTACGGTCCGCCGACGAAAGGCACTGCTCCGCTCCTCAGCGCCGACGGCAGTACTCTCCTGACTGAGAAGACGCAAATCCTTCAGCGATGGGCCGAGCATTTCTGAGGCGTCCTAAACCGCCCTTCCGCCATCTCCGACGCCGCCATCGCGCGTTTGCCGCAAGTCAAGACAAACGCGGACCTAGACCTCCCGCCATCTCTCTAGGAAACCATCAGGGCCGTGCAGCAGCTCTCCAGCGGGAAAGCACCCGGATCGGACGCAATCCCTGCTGAGGTCTACAAGCACGGAGGTCCCCTACTGATGGATCACCTGACTGCGCTCTTCCAGGAGATGTGGCGTCAAGGTAAAGTCCCGCAAGATTTCAAGGACGCAACTATCGTGCACCTACACAAGCGAAAAGGGAATCGCCAAGTCTGCGACAATCACCGTGGCATCTCCCTGCTGAACATCGCCGGGAAGATCTTCGCTCGCATCCTTCTCAACCGCCTCAATAACCATCTGGAACAGGACCTTCTGCCAGAAAGCCAGTGCGGCTTCCGTCGTCATCGGGGGACCACGGATATGATCTTCGCCGCCCGTCAACTTCAGGAGAAGTGTCAGGAGATGCGGACCCACCTGTACTCTACCTTCGTGGACCTGACGAAAGCCTTCGACACGGTGAATCGTGAAGGACTGTGGAAGATCATGCAGAAATTCGGCTGTCCGGAGCTATTTACTCAGATGGTGCGTCAGCTGCACGACGGTATGATGGCTCGAGTCACGGAAAACGGAGCTGTCTCAGAGGCATTCGCAGTGACTAACGGAGTGAAACAGGAATGCGTGCTGGCACCAACCCTCTTCAGTCTTATGTTCTCTGCCATGCTGATGGACGCCTACCGCGACGAACGTCCCGGGATTCGCATCGTCTACAGGACGGACGGTCACCTGCTGAATCAACGACTGATGCAGTTCCAATCACGCGTATCCACAACAACCGTTCACGAACTCCTCTTCGCCGACGACTGTGCCCTGAACACCACCTCAGAAGAGGAGATGCAACGGAGCATGGACCTGTTCTCCGCCGCCTGCGAAAACTTCGGTCTGGTCATTAACACGCAGAAGACGGTGGTGATGCACCAACCGCCACCCAACTCAGCCACAGCCGTCAACGCGTCGCCGCAAATCAGCGTGAATGGGACCCTACTGCAAATGATGGAGAACTTCCCGTACCTGGACAGTCCTCTCTCCCGCACCACCAAGATTGATGACGAAGTCGCCAACAGGATCTCGAAAGCCAGTCAAGCCTTCGGTCGTCTCCAAAGCACAGTTTGGAATCGTCACGGTCTTCAACTGAACACGAAGCTGAAGATGTACAAGGCCGTTATCCTGCCGACGCTACTGTACGGAGCAGAGACCTGGACGGTGTACACGAGGCAGGCACGCCGTTTGAACCACTTCCACCTCAGTTGTCTTCGTCGTATCCTGCGGCTGAACTGGCAGGATCGCATCCCCGACACTGATGTGCTGGAACGAACGGGAATGCTCAGCATCTACTCCATGTTGAGACAAATGCAGCGGCGCTGGAGCGGCCACCTGGTGCGCATGGACGACGAGCGACTACCCAAACGACTCTCCTACGGAGACGTCGAGACGAGTTCTCGTCGTCAAGGAGGCCCAATTCGTCGATACAAGGATACCCTGAAGTCCTCCCTGAAGCTACTGCAAATCAATCCGACCAACTGGGAAGAGCTCGCCTGCGATCGTCCGGCATGGAGGAGAACAGTGAAGACGGGCGCTGCGATCCACGAAGCCAACCGCATCGCCGCCGCCAAAGTGAAACGCGAAGCCCGCAAATCACAACTGCGCCCAGTCAGCAACGCTGCCGCACAACTGCTTCCAACGTGTCCTCGATGTAAGCGGACATGCCGGGCTCGAATCGGCCTTGTTGGACATCTTCGGATCAACTGTACCTCTCGAACTGCACCAAGCTTCATCCCCCCGCCCGCGTCATCCTCGTCCTCTCTGCCGCCGAATAACTCTGTGAATTCTTCTGCACCAACACTTCCATCCTCCTCCTCCTCCTCCTCCTCCTCCTCCTCCTCCACCTCCACCACCACTGCCCCAACGGCGGCCGCTCAGGCAGCCGTCTCGCACATCTCCGACCGCGACACAACAACCGGCACCACCCCCGCCTCTCCTGACTCCAGAAATGAGAATCAGGACTACACCTGTCCTCACTGCGACCGCACCTTCACCTCACACATCGGCCTGGTCGGTCAGTTGCGAATCAATCACACAGAGACCGGAGAACCAGTGCCTGGAGCACCAACCTACACCCACCAAGCTCGTCTCAACTGTCCACACTGCCCTCGCACTTTCAGGCACCGCATGGGCCTATTCGGCCACATGCGCATCCACGACGACCTGCGGTAGACAACCGCCGGTTACACCACACATCCACACACTCCCTACCCTCCTCCACCATCACCAACACACATCAACACTCACCCTCCGCATGCACCAACTGCCACCTTCCACGCAAGTGGGAAGTGTGCATCTCGTTTCGGTTTCCACGCGGCTTCGGCTGTACGGGTGATTTGAGTCCGAGACTATCCCGACACTTCAAGTTTCGTGGATAGAAAGGTTGCTGATTGATGCCCGCTCTCGGTTCACGCAGTTCGTCGCGTTGTGTGTGTGCTGTGTGGAGTGGCGGACTAGTGGGCTGGGAACGGGCTGAAGCAATACCTTCCACGGCCCTCTCACGCAAGTGAGAGACACGCCGTTCAACCCCCGTTGTGTGAAATCCTGGTGTTTGTGTGTGTATGGGGGGCCAGGTCGTGCTGTGGCGCGCGCAGTCACGGTCAGTCGACCGTGGCAGCCACCGCGCCCATCCACCGCTCCAGTTTGCCGACCGGCTCGGACGGCGGCTGGAGTGTGGGAATGGGAAGGGAGAGTGAGGTCGACTACTCAGCGCACTTTTTCCTCACTATAATCAATCTGACGCGCTTGAAGCTATCACGGTGCGCTTAAAGCCGTGGCTTGGAAGGTTGCCAACTGACGGGGTAACTTGGGCCTCCTCCTTAAAGGGAGGCGGTCTGAGAGTCAGGCTGCAATGGGTCCTTTTTAATGTGGCCTTTATGGCACTCCCACCACAGTGTGGGATCCGAGCCAGGCGTTGGCGGCACGCCTAGGTGCGGCTTCGGCCGTGCCAGCCTCCAAATCTCTGTTGTGTTGGTTGAAATCCTGGTTATTGTTGTGTGGACCAGGGGGTGTGGTGGAACGCCAAGGTGAGGATCCGTCCGAGCCATCCACCTGCGGCCTCCCTCGTCTCCGGTCTTCTTGACTCTGTCTTGACACCGGGCTCGGGCGAGGGAGGTGGAGAGAGTGTACGTAGATGCAGCGCAAGTCTACTGGCACTATAAACCCCTGCACAAGTCACCGTCCCTGCTCCAACCTGCTGTGGGGCACACGGTGGACATCATCGAAATCGATGGTCGAACTGTCAGGTTTTGCATGCAGCCGGTGTCCTGCGGTAACTGAATTATTATAGAATTATGCTGCACGGTTATCTGTATTACAACCCTACCTTATAAATCTTTTAAAAACGAAAACGCATTTCAGACTTTCCGTTGAGATTTCATGAGTTGGTCCACTTACTGTAGATAGCAGCCAAGCCGTTGGCCTCAAAGCATCCTTCCGAGTATTAGTTCGGCACGAACAACTCGAAAATTGCGCTACTTGGAAGACGCCTAAATGCGGTGTGAGAAACCCGATCCATGTTAACAGTTTGACCAGGTGGTCAACCTCGACTTGCCAGTTCTTAGATTAACGCGCATCCCTTCTGCGTGTTAGCTTACAAATGTTTCCCTAAAACTCGCTTTTATGGTGCCATCTTCATTGAATAGTCTATGTGCAGTAAACTATGAACTTGCTGTTTTGATTTGATCTTTCTGCGCACGTCCGATTTGTTGCATATTTCTTATTCATTATTTGCTTTATACAGCGCCAAGTTGCAGTTGATAAGCTATCGTTAAATTCGTTGTCGCCAATAAATTCTGATGTCATATTGACCCAAATGTAGAAAGCTCGGCGCCTCGGTGGATTCGAGCCCACGCAGTAAGGGGAAGGCTTTGGTACAGCCAACGCTCTAACCACTTGAGCTGCAAAGTCCTGCCGGACGACGCGAATTTAATCACATTTGGGTCAAGTTACCCACCCAACCTACTGCAGCGTCTGAATTGCCACCAAATCTGATACAGTAAGTTGACTGCCCAAGCAGGATTTCCTAAGTAATTCACCTAGAATCCACAAGGTGAAACGGTTGAAAGAGATTTCAAACACCGAGATACTGGGAAGCGATGGCGTCCTTAGCATTCACCCTTCGCGGCGACGATGGAGTGGCCGGGTGGTTAGGATAGACGACGAACATATGCTAAGGCGGAGTTCTGCGCTAACCTCCCAACCTGTGATCTCCTTCCAAGCAGGCATATTCTTCGTTCTAAAAACTACCTTCCGCAGCGATTTAAGCCCATACAAATGCATCCAGAAACGTGCAAAGACCTCGTGTAGGATTGGTAGATGTGGCACATTGCTTTGAAAAACGAAGCGGCCGCCTTCGAAACCTAGGCAATACGAGATGCCGATAGAATTCCCATGGCGCGGATCACAGTTGATGACACAACGTCTAACAGGATACTGTGCAGTGTGGCTCGACGGTAGACCGCTGAGCAACTTAACTACCGGTGACCAAGGGGGACTGATCCAAATCCCATGTCACACAGACCTAGGATTGGGCATGACTGGATAATGATGGCTAACAAACCGGAATTGGCCACTCCGGTCTCCCTCTACGAGGGCACAACCGGACCAGCCGCCCCCGTAAGCTGACCAGATAACACCCTTCCACCATAGTTAATATTTCATGTTACGAGAGAGAGAGAGCGAGAACAATAGGCTTATGGTTCAGTGCTAGACCGTTGAGTTTAAAAGCGTATAATAATCAATAAACCTGGGTGAGAATCGAATGTCATTCAGAACCGGGATGAATATGACTGACTAGCGACGGCTGAAAACGAGGTTTGAGCGACCTGTAATTCGAACTAGTATTTTTCTTTCAGCGGGCGTTATCATGCCAAAGGCTCGAAAACTGAGCCAGAGGTTCGTTGTCCTGTCGATTGTCATCGGAAAAATGCAGTGTCCTACGATGTGCGCCCATTGGGTCGTCTACGAACAAAATTGTCGCACTGAGCCTTGAGGTTTAACCTGGAGGCATGATAGATCTGGCTAGTAAGCTTGGAAGTAATTTTCGCGTCCCCTGCCTGTCAGGAGTAAACGTTTCCGGCCAACTCCTCATCGCCGAGGCGGTCCTGCAACGGTTGGAGTCGTTGGTCTTCCAACGCCACAAACCGAAGTTCTGGGCCCGGAATGGTGATGACACCTTCATCGTTATCGACCGGGATCAACTGCTGACATTCAAAAAACGTCTCAACGCTGCCTTCACGGACATGCAATTTACGATGGAGGAGGACGAGAAAAACTAACTGGCCTTCCTGGATGTCCTCGTATGCCGCAAACAATTGTGGTGGACAAAAGACCAAAGTGTTCAGGAAAGCGACAAATACGATGCAAGTACTGCACTTCAACAGTAACCACCCAATCAGCCACAAACGCAGTTGTGTAAGGACGCTCGATCGGCGCGTCGGAACGCACTGCAGCGAGCCGGAAGACAAGATTGCCAAACTACAATACCTCCAACGGGTATTCAAAGCCAATGGCCACCCGCGCATCTTCGTCAACCGGTGCAGACGCAGAAGGGACGAAAGGCCTAACCGCACGGACACCAAATCTTGGCGGGCGCTTCCGTATGTCAAAAACGTTTCGGAAGCGGTCGGCCGCCTTCTCGCATCACTCGGATAATGAAACCGAATGACCCACTGCAATGGCCACGCGGGGAGCGCACTGGTGAGCACTTTTCTCAGCATCAGGGTAAGTGGGTCGGATGACTGAGCAACCATCACACCAACATCTAACGCCGACGTAAATGTCGGCCATCAAACAGTCATCACACCACGTTCAACGATCCCGGAAGAAGAATTGAGTCGTGAAAATTCATAGGTATACGGTAGCATGGCGACTGCATCCTATAAATACTGCAGCCGCATATGCATGAACCACCCTTATCTGCTTTTGTCTCTGATGATGGACTCGAGCAGGAATCCGAAACGTCAGGCTAATAAAGCTCTTGTCGCAGTGATCGTGTCTCCTTCTTCTTAGTCGTCATCTTCAACCAGCCATGGCTAAATCCGAGAAGAAAAACTTAGCTCTGCACGCCTGTTAGCCTGTCCTGAACGCTGTGGCTTTAATCCTACCTTCAAATCAAACATGGTTTTATCAACTGGAAACAACTTTCATTCAGAATGTCTATGTTAGCGCGCACGCAGGCCGTGGCCGCAAAATGGTTTTTTACATCCCTTTTTATGCACCCCTGCCCTTTAATTTTGTCCCTTTCCCCTTATACATCTTCTCGTCAGCAGCCCTGTCCTCATTCATTTACTCTCATTCTTGTTGCCATCATATTTCCCCCTCCATCCCCAACGTAAACTCCTCCGCCCACCATCTCTATGTTCCCCACTCCGAATTACTCTGCCTCTACCTGTGGTTGTTCTCTTGTCCCTCCCGTCATCGGTCCCTTTATTTTAGACTGTGTTGTGCTCTCCTCTCAGTTAAAGTGTTTTTTTCTGCCTTCTGATTGTTTTGTCTTCGTGACTTTAAATTGTCTTTCCCTCAGCTCATCTCCGATCGTGAAGAGGACATACGACGTAAACGACAGCCAAGGACATAATTGTCAATAGATGCGAAGAGACGAGTCCCAGGAAGCAGTCTTGAAGAAGGAGACATGATCGCTGCGACAAGAGCTTTATTAGCCTGACATTTCGGATTCCTGCTCCAACCCAACATCAGAGGCAAGATAAGCAGATACGGGTGGTTCATGCACAAGGGGCTGCAGTATTTATAGGATGCAGTCGCCATACTACCGTTTACCTATGAATATTCACGACTCTCCCCTTCATCAGGGATCGTTGCACGTGGTATGATGGTCGACAATCGCGCCGTTAATTGCTGTAATTTCATCACGTGTGTTGGATGATGGTGTGATGACTGCTCGACCATCCGACACACCAAGCCTGGTGTTGGGAAAAGTGTTCACCTATGAGCTTCCCGCGTGGCTAATTACCCCGCCTAGGGTAAGTATCAGCACCGAGTGTGGAATGGGAACATCATTGCACTTTTTAATGGAGTGGGGGGGCAGTAAACCATGACTCAAGCAGCTCCCGGCTCACGCGGTTGTCACCTTCAGCGAGAATTTCGGCCTCGTCAATGTTGAATGTGTGGTCGGATCTCGTCGAATGAGTCGCAATTTGAGAGCTGGCGTCACTTCTTCGCACCGCTGCAGCGTGTTCGGCCATTCTCGTTCGGAGCTGTCTTCCGGTATTTCCGACGTAGCTGCTTTGTCCGCAACTGCACCAGATCCGATAAACGACTCCCGACGTTTCTTTCCGTGGCAGCGGACATTTCGGTTTCAATAGCGGACGCCTGATGATTGCCTCCAGTCTGTGTGCAACTCCAAACCCAAGTGGTGCGAGAAGGCGGCTGACAGCTTACGAAACGTTCTTGAAATACGGAAGCGCTCGTCAAAATTTGGTGTTCGTACGGTTTGCATCCTATAAATACCCTTGTGCATGAACCACCCGTATCTGCTTCTGTCTCTGATGATGGGTTCGAGGAGCAATCCAAACCCTCAGGCTCTTGTCCCAGCGATCGTGTCTCCTTTTTCAAGGGCATAATTGCCTACATCTGTTTCATGAGATGAGCTTCGTTACCGATGACGTCCGCACATACCGAACGGGATGCGTGCATTATTGGAAAACTGCTCGTGGACTGATTTACAGCAAGAACCTAACTGCTCATCATCTACCGCATTCTGTCCTTTCCCTATCTTTCTCCATCACCAACCCTGCAACGAATGCAAGGTGATAGCAAAACGGCCGAAACTGGACTCGGACGTAGTGGCCGACGACAGTAAACAGCTTGTTAACGCGTGTCACGCACGACACGGTTCCAACTACATGAGCCAGGTTTCTCTACTGGCAGTTCTGATTCTACACCAGTGAGAGTGCCATAAAGGCTTCATTGAAAAACAGCTGTTGAGCCTAAGTGTCAGTTCTCAAATGGCTCCAAAATACTCCTATAGTTACCCATTTAGTCGACAGCTATCCAGGTCGTGACTGTCAGCCAGTCGTGTTAGACTTAAGCACGTCAGATCCATCACTGGTGAGAACTGCGTTGATGCGCCGTGCATACAGATTCCACAGGATCAAACTCATTCTTTCTTCGCAACCGCCGACGGTTAGAGCATGTCAGCGAACTGATGATTTGCCAGCGTCCACTTGACAACAAGGCCTAACAGTTTGTCTACGAGAACCAAACGCGACTACAACTGGTATCATAGGTTGTTCCATTGGCCGAGCAGAAGAGCCCCAGATTTTAACCACCACCGGCGGTTTTGTGGCATTCTCCGCTCTTTTCGGTCCGCGGTTGTAGTGGACCAGAATTTGTCACTCTGATTGTTTTCGCACTTTGAGGTTAAAAGATGGAAACCAGTTTGTCGAGAGAAGATTTGTTTTATTCACCTGATCTTTCTGACGTGCTGGGAACCGCTAATACCCTCAGAGCCAATGGCAATGTCCAACAAATCGAGCAGTGCCTGCACTGTCAGAAACTTGGGCCCTCATCTGATGGTGAAGTTACATTGTGAGACAGGTTTGCGTTAGAATAAGTATAAATCAGTTTGAAGCATTTTTTCCCGGGTATGAATTGAAAACAAGCAATTATAGCAGCATTTATTGGGGACAATAAATTTCGTGAGGGCTTATCAACTGCAGACCTTCTCTGCATAACATGGGCAACGAATGAAAGCGCACAGCAGTATGAATTTGTACAGAATGGCAGTGCATAAGAGCAAGGTCAAGGTTCAAGACAATGAATAATCAGATGAAAGACGTTTCTGTAAGCATCATATAGGAAAGAGGGAGACGAAATGTTACCAACAAATCACGGTCAGGAGTAACTTGAGGCGTGAGATTACAAGGACAATTGCAGATTGATCACGTGATCTAACTGCTTGCACAAATCTGGTTTCTCCCTCCGTATGTAAGCTGCTTCCTATATGATGCTTATGTGGACGGCTTATCTGATTATTTATTGCCTTGAACCTTGACCTTGCTCTTATGCACTGCCATTCTGTACAAATTGATACTGCTGTGCGCTTTCATTCGTTACTTATGTTATGCAGAGACGGGCTGCAGTTGCAAAGCCGTCACAAAATTTATTTGCCCTCATAAAGCAGTTTGTTTTCGACTATTTCCAGTACATGGTTATATGATTACCTCTGTTTCTGCGGTTTCAAACCCCGAATAGCCTCGGGATGGCTGAGGAAAGCAAACTTATAGAGTGGATTACTCATGTGGGCGGCCCGCTATTTCTGACATGATAGGATGTCGACGTTTCTGACGGTCTGGCATTTATAACTGCAGCCCTATTGCCCGCATGAAATCCGATCACTGATGCCTGAATGTTCATGTCCGTTGAGGTGGTCCATAACTGTTTATGTGCACAGATAATTAACTCTGTGATGGTGCTTTCCTTAGTTTTACAATTATTTTTTTTCTTTTGTAGATAATGATCATACACAGACGTCTTGAACCCGCGTAGGAGAAAGATACTTGTATTCATTCTATGAACCCCTTGTTAACTGGCGATGAAGATGTAGTATGAGGAAACTTTTCAGGGTAAAATGATCCTGCAAGAATTTTTACCAAAAGATTTTAACGGGAGATCCATGTCTTAATGAAAAGGTGTCATAACAAATAACTGTAAAATTAGAGCAATTTATGGCATACTTAAAACACTTTACGATGGAAGATTTTATTGATTTTCCACAACAGTTTGACAGTCTCGTACAACTACAGTAAAAGAGCTAACTTATAAACTGTAAGCTGACATTCCGAAATGCGTTTTCAGCTCGAAAATATTACTTAGGTAGAATTATAATATTTATCCTCCTGCGGCATAATCCTATGATAATTATTTTGCCTGAGATTACCGGCTTTTGATTGAACTTTTTTACGTCCACCTCCATAAAACACACTCTCTGCAAAACATAACTACTTTAGAAGTGTGAGTTTTATCCTTGACATTCTATGACGTTATAAGTTCAAATGCGTTTCATAGAAAACACGCAAAAAATATTCACTCTTTAACTTATTTAGTAAACAATTACGTCATCTTTAAGTTTTATACTTGAGCGAAGGGCATAGCTGAGTTTTAAAAAAACTTTTCCAGTCCCAGATAATTTTGAACCCGACCTGCCGTTTCACTTGCATTCGGGGTTTCCAAGATACAGGGCGTAAATTGCCCCTGTATGGAAAATTAAACACTTGTTTACAGTATTATGAGAATACCTTGTGAGGTTCATAAAATT